GATGGTGTACCAGTCGCTAGGACTAATTGTTTCCATGAATTTTGGTTTTCTTCATTCTTGTTTGCTCTGGACGAGGAGAGACCCATAGTTGCATCTAGATGGCAGCTTGCTAGCTTTTAAAATCCCAATCACTACTCGCCAAAGTAGGAGGTGGAACAATGTTTTGTATAGTATGTTATGCCAATTGAGCTTGATGTCCCCTGCACAGTCTTAATTTTCATGTTTATAAAATAGGGCTAATAATAGTGCTTACTGTAAGAGTTATGAGGTTGTTTGTTAGTTCAGTGCCTAACACATAACATGCACTTAGTGTGTTAACTCCCTACAGCTACTGTTACATATGTATTTTGCACCCTAGTCTGCTTATTTTCTTAGGATACATTTCCAGCAGTGGAATTCTTAGTCCTAAGAAATGCATACTATCCAGGTGTTTGATGAACAAGGCAAACTCACTTTTCAAAAAGGCTATACTAATTCATATACCTTTATTACCAATAGTGGGTAAAGGAGGCCATTTTTATCCATCCTGTCAATATTGAGTCCAGTCTCTGATTTCCTGATTCATGTTCATGTTAGGAGAAAGATACCTGTTTAAAAGTTCACACTACAATATTTTATTTAAACCCAGCAAGAATTTGTTGACTAAGTCAGGCATCAAGGGGAAAACAGACATGAAAACGATTACTCTGCTGGAGGAGAAAAATAATTGAGTGTAATTCATAACAAAATAGATTACCTGCTGTAAGAGAGATGCAAACGCCATGTGAATACAGAAAAGGGAAAGATTTATTCCAGCTTTGCGGAGGTGACATGGATCAAGGAAGACTTTTTAAGAGAGATAGCATATTGTAGTGGTTAAGAGCGGAACCTTAAACTTTTTCAGTAAAAGGGCCTGATAGTAAATATTTGAGGCTTTGTGGCTTTGCAGGCCATAAGTTGTCTGCTGCAGCTACTCCTCTTTGCTTGTTGCATAAAAGAAGTCACAGACAATATGTAACTGTGTTTCAATAAAACTTTTATTTATGGATGTTAAAATAGGAATTTCATATAGTTTTCAATGGCCATGAAATAGAATTTTTGGGCAACCATTTAAAAATTTAAAAACTGATCTTAAAAACAGACAGTGGGCCAGATTTAGCTGGTGGGCTGTAATTTGCCCATCTCTGGTTAACATTTACCCTGCAGTCATATTTCCTTGATTTGAATTTGGCTCATCACTCTTTACTAGTTGTGTGACCTTGGACAATTAATTTGTACTTTAGTTTCTCAATTGTAAAATAGGGCTAATGCCAGTATACCTCCTAGTGCTGTAAAGATTAAATGAGGAGAGTCCCAGCCCTTAGTAAGTACTCATTAAGTGTTAGCTATTATATTTATGGGAGCTCTGGTAGCATACTGCCTAAGTGCTTGACTGCTAACCAGAAGGCTGGTGGTGGAAACCCAAGGAGGGATCGCTATGAGTCGGGTCCAACTCGATGGCACATAACAACAACAACAGCAACATTATGTTTATGGAGAAGGTAGCACTTGTGGAATATTTAAGTGACTTACATGGCAACATTGTTTTGGTTACCTAGTGGAGCTCTGGTAGCATAGTGGCTAAGACATTTGCCTGCTAACCAGACGGCTGGCGGTTCAAACCCACCAGCCACTCCTTGGAAGGAAGACTGGGCAATCCTACTTCCGTAGTGATACTGCCTCGGAAACTCAAGGGGGGTCGCTATGAGTCGGGTTTGACTCGAGGGCACATAACAACAACAACAACAACAACAACAACAGTGCAGCTGTAACAGAAATACCACAAATTGGATGCTTGAACAAACGGGAGTTTACTGTCTTACAGTTTTGGAGGCTTTGAGTCTGAGTTCAAAGTTCTAGGCTCTAGGGGCTGGGTGAAAGCCCCTTAACCTTGGGCTTTCGCTCTGGCTCCTGCTCCCGGCCCACTGAAGCTAGAGGCTTTTCTTCACTCAGCTGTTGGCTGCTGAGGTTGACAAGCCCAAGGTTGACAAGTAAAAAGGCACAGTCCCAATGTTACCAAACAACATGGCAGGCCACTAATTCAAGTCCAGAAGAAGTCCCAAGATTGCCAGTGCATGGCAGGGTGTTGAACAATGACTTGGCTACATGCAGGGTTCAAGCGTGCCAAAAAGCTGGAGACCTTCCTCAAAGCTGCTGCTTAGATACTGGAAGCAGCCACATCCCTAAAGCAGCTGCTCAGCTGCTCCAGTAGATTCCACCATGGAACTGACTGCCAGTCTCACCCTGGGGACTAACTACATCCAGCTGCCCAGCCACTCAACCAGGCCCAGCCAAGTTGACAACATTAATTTGTTTATACTTCAGTTTCCTCAACTGTAAAATAGGGCTAATGCCAGTATACCTCGTGGTGTTGTAAAGATTACATGAGAAGAGTCCCAGCCCTTAGTAAGTGCTCATTAAGTGTTAGCTATAAGATTTATGGATAAAGTAGCACTTGTTGAAAATTTAAGTGACTTACATGACAAAATTAAGGTGTTTATACCACACAGAACTAAAAAAATAAAACAACAGTTTTCCCCATTTGAGATAGTTCCATAATTTTTGTCAAATGATATTCCTGGAAATGTGTGTCTGTAAAGTATAGTTTTTACATTAGTATTCATTTCCCACTTAGCCAAGAACAAAACTGGGTGTGTCTGCTGGGAACTTATTAGGAAGAATTGCCATGACGTGATTAAAAATCAAACCTGAGATAATTTTAAGAGACCCTCAATGAAATAAAACCTGAATTGTTGTTAAGCCAATAAATGCCCTTTTTAATGACAGGGAAAGGAACTTTTAACAAAACAAATTTTAGAGCTGGAGGCCTCAAAAATCATATGCAGCTTGAAAGTTTATTCTTTGTTATTTTTGGTGAAACTTGCCTGGAAGGAGGAAGTAAGCTGCTTCCTGAAACTGAATGAGCTCTTAGAATTGATGTAGGCCACTAACACGGCAGCACGTGATTTATTATTTAGTGTAATTGAATAGAAGAGAATGGAAATGTTTGTCTCTCCTTGGACCATGTAGTGAATCAAAGGTCCTTGAGTTATTTGATTATGGTAAGTATATGATTGTGTTTAAAGTCAACAGCAAATAAAGCTAATTGTCTGGCAAGTCCCTGGTGATGCTGAGCAGAAGCTGGTGTTGATGAGCTGATGACGGCTTCAGAAGGGCTTGGGAGGGCACCTTCGGGCAGGTTCAGGATGACTGGGAAGGTGCCTCTATAACTGACTGTGCTACTCACAGGCACTTCCTGAGTTATAAATACTGTAAAAGATCATCCAGCATGCAAGAGGAAGCTGAAGCTCAGAGTGACTCTGAGTGTGAGAAGCATAGCTTTATTCACAGTGCTGGTAAGGAAGAGCTAAGGCGGGTTTCTTGACTTGTAGTACAAATAGTCAGCTGTACTATCTTGTCATGCCCCGTTAGTCACCCTGTGCATGCACATGGCCGTATACGCATGCCTCCTTTGGCTTTGCTGCTGCAACTTCTAGTTGTGCCTGTATTGCTTTAACCCCAAGTTGTGATCAGGCAGCCCAGGTCCTTCTTTTTGCTGCCTTAGGGATATTGAACTTCTGTGAGCATTGATGCCACTGTTATTTTATCCCAGGCAATTATTCACCTTTTTGATTCTTTTTTTCTTGTCTCCTATCTCTTCTTGACTTCAGTCTTTTCCCTTTTCTCTCTTTCTAATAATACCTGTTTTCTCTCTTCCACTGTCTATCCTTGTTATTTCTATTTAAGATCTCCACTCCCCCCCTGCCCCCCAAATATACAACAAACTAATAATATCTGAAACTCTTAAGAGTGGAACTAAAGCTACATCTCTGTCAAGAGAAAAGAAAGTCATCCTTTGTTGAATATCTATCATGTGCTAGTGTTGGAGTATAATATTGTCTTTGTTGTAGAGAATTAAATCAATAGAACGTTTGATAGTTTTTGAACTTGTTGTATTTTGTGAATATACCTTGTTGCAAAGATGTTTTTCCTATTGTTAAAATGTTATTTCACAAACAACATTCTAGCCAAATTAATGGAAATGCTAAAAAAAAGAATCCACAATCTCTTCATAATTAATTAAACTGCTTCTCCTGTGTTTTCTTCTAATATCTGTCAAATATTTACATAATGTTTATGCAGTTGAAATCATAGATAAATCTCTTTTTCACTTTGCCATTTAATATATCCTTTTTAATAATATTCCACTTAATGCAGAAGGGAAATAACATTGATGGAGTACCTGCTATGCCCCAGACACTGGAAGTACTTGGGATTCCTTTATTTATTTATTTATAAGCATTTTATTGTGCTTCAGGTGAAAGTTTAGGAGTTCTGGTAGCGTAGTGCCTAAGACACTTGACTGTTAACCAGAAGGCTGGCAGTTCCAACCCACCAGCCACTCCTCAGAAGGAAGATTGGGCAATCTATTCCATAGAGATACTGCCTCGGAAACCCAAGGAGAGTTCGCTGTGAGTTGGGAATGACTCAACAGCAGTGAGTTTGGTTTGGTTTATTACTTGGCTGATAGGTGGCCTCTGGGAGGGAGTGTCTTGAGTTTCAAGTTAGAAGGTTATGTTAGGGTAGTAGTCCCAAGAATTCTGTCTCTTTCAGACCAGTCAGCCTGGCCTTTTTTTTTTTTTTTTTTAACTTGAATTTTTGTCTATGTTTATTTTCTTTAAGTTTTATTTATTTTGTTGTTGAGAATATACACAGCAAAACATACACCAATTTGCAGTTGCAAATTGGTGGCATTGATTACATTGTTTGAGTTGTGCAACCATTCTCACCCTCCTTTTCTGAGTTGTTCCTCCCTCATTAACATTATCTCACTGCCCCCTAAGGTTCCTGTGTTAAACTGGGTTCTCTAGAGAAACAAAACCAGTAAAACGTATATATATATATGAAGAGAAATTTATCTTAGGAAAATGGTTCACACACTTACAGAAGCTGGCAAGTCCCAAGTTCTTGGATCAAATGTCAAGCTGGAGGCTTTTCCCAACTCACACAGCTGCTGGGGCTGAGGAGCTCAAGGGTGGCCGGCAGTATCCTGGCTGTTGACTCCAACGAATGACAAATCCAAGATCTCCAGGCCGAATGGTGCATTGTTCGCTCATGGATAGTTGTAGGCAGAATCCCGATCCACAGAAGAGTGTCTCTTTTCCCAGGATGTCCATAAGTATTCTGGAAGCAGGCCATACCCCTAGGGAAACTCCCTTTCAACGGATTGGCTGCTCAAAACATATACGTCTGATCCTGTCTTTGGAACAACCAACATCACAATTGCTTAAACCACACAAATTGTGGTCCAGCCAAGTTGACACAAATCTCCAACTATCACAGTTCCTATCTAATCTTTCAAGTTGCTGCTGTTAATTTGATCCCATGAAGAATTCTTAAGAGAGCATATAATGCTCAAGGCAGACCATTTTTTACTAATTGAGCTAAACTGTTGGTTGTTTTTAAGAAACTTTAAGGGGATATTTTTGGCTTAAGATTTAAAGATTATCTCATATCAGTAGTTTCCGGGGTTCATCTGCCCTCCATGGCTCCAGAAAGTCTAGTGTCTGTGACAATTTAAAATTCTGTTCTACATTTTCCCACCTCTTGATAAGATTCTTCTGTGCAGTCTTTGATCAAAATGTTCAGTCAAGGGTAGCTGGGCATTCTGTAGTTCTAGTCTCATAGCAAAAGAGGCAGTTGTTCATGGAGGCCGTCAGCCACATATTCCGTATTCTCTTCCTATTCCTGACTCTCCTTCTTCCTCTTTTGCTCCAGGTAAATAGAGACCAATTATTGTATCTTGGTTGGTTGCTTGCAAACTTTTAAGACCCCAAGCACTATGCAGTGACCTAGGAGACAGAACAGAAGCACTAAAAGCATTATTAGGACAATTAACTGGGCTGTCCCGTGGAGCTGTGTCCCTAAACTTCCAAACCAAGGAGCCAAATCCCATTAGGTGTTTGGTTGTACATAAGCAGCTCCAGTAGCTCCTTTTTTTTTTTTTTTTGTCATTTTAAATATATCTATCATACAACTTTTGTCAATTCAATTTTTTACAGGTGTACAGTTTACTGAGACCAATTACAACAATCAGCTCTACAACCCTACTGTTAATCGGGGTAGTTTTTCCATCACCATTAACCTCCTTTTTCCCCTTCCTCCTGTCCCTAAACCCATTGCCATCCTGTAGATTCTGATTCATAGCGACCCTATAGGGCAGAGTAGAGCTGCCTATAGAGTTTCCAAGGCTATAAATCTTTGTAGAAGTCGACTGCCTCACCTCATCTTTCCTTCATGGAGAAGCTGATGGGCTTGACTTGCCGACTGTTTGGTTAGCAGCTGAATGTTTTAACCACTGCACCACCAGAGGTCTTTTCCCGCCCCTGGTAGTCACTAATAAATGTTTTCTATGCATCTGCTTTTCTTGTCCTTTTATATAAGTGAAGTCATGCAATATTTGGACATACTGAGTTTGAGAGCACTGTAGGATATTCTGTTATCAGAGGAGCTCGGGTGGCATAGTTGTCAAAGCATTCATCTGTTAACCAAAAGATTGGCAGTTCGAACCCACCAGTTGCTTCATGGGAGAAAGATGAGACAGTCTGCTTCTATAAAGTTTACAGCATCAGAAACCCCATGTGGCCGTTCTGTCCTATAGGGTCGCTATGAGTCAGAATCAACTTGATGCAGTGGGTTTGGTTTTGGTTTTTATAGAATATTCAGACTTTCTAGAAGATAAGATACACCAATTTCTCATTCAGTATTACTGCCTTACTTACTGTTTTTCTAATTGGTGCTGCTGGCATACCTCATTTTCCTGTGCTTCACTTTACTGAGTTTCGTAGATACTGCCTTTTTTTACAAAGTGAAGGTTTATGGCAACTCTGCTTTGCCCAAGTCTGTCGGAGCCATTTTTCCAACAACATATGCTCACTTCATGTCTCTGTGTCACATTTTGGTAATTCCCACAATATTTAAAACTTTTTCATAATGCTGTTACACACTTAATAGACTACAGTATAGTGTAAGCATAACTTTTGTATATACAGGGAAACCAGAAAATTCGTGTGACTCCCTTTTTGTAATATTCACTTTATTGCGGTGGTTTGGAACTGAATGTGCTGAGGTATGCCTGCATTTCAATAGCAGCATTTTCTATTTTTCTACACAAAAGTGTGATATTTCAGGACTTAATAAGCTTTTCCAGCACAGGTTGTGAATTCAACCATCGTTTATAACATCCTCAGTGTTCTAATTGGAGAAAGCAGTGTAAATTTCAGACAACTGATCTACATGGCCAATTTGAGGACTAGTTTGTACTAATTTGAGATACTTATTTAATTTGGTGCTTTTATGTTAGTTCAGTAAGGTTAATGTAATGAGAGATGAAAATATTTACACAACAGACATGTAATCAGATCAGATTAATTAGTTTATGTGTGGTGATGTATGTAAAATTTGCCTTAGTTTTGTATACAAATATACTATACTACTAGAGGGTTATTGATTTTTTTGTTCCTTTACTTACCCTAGGCTAGTATAGAACCAGTGGCATTTCCGTCATATCCTTCTCCCCATGTTGTTGTAGTTAGGTGCCGTCGAGTCAGACCCGACTCATAGTGACCCCTCCTTGGGTTTTGAGGCGGTATCACTACGGAAGTAGATTGTCCAACCTTCTTTCTGAGGAGTGGCTGGTGGGTTTGAACCATCAGCCTTCTGGTTAGCGGTCAAGTGCCTTAGGCACTAGGCTACCAGAGCTCCTTCTCCCCATAGTACCATGATTCTTTAAAGATATACACTTTTGGAACTGTAAAAGAATTTTTACAGAAAAGAATTTTACCTAAATTGGTCATATCAGTGCAAACAATAGAAACATACCTGTGGTAGAAAAGTTATTTCAAACTAGGAAATAATATTTTTTTATTTTTTATGTAGATTGAATACCTGCTTAAGAAACTTACAGAAGTTATGGGAGGAGGTTGGCAGCAAGAACACTTTGAGCATTATAAAATCAACTTTGATGGCAATAAAGAAGGGCTTTCAGCCTGGGAACTTATTAAACTTATTGGAAATGGACAATTTAGCAAAGACATGGATCAGCAGACGGTATCTATGGCAATTAATGAAGTCTTTAGTGAGCTTATACTAGATGTATTGAAACAGGTAAGAGCCCTCTAACACTGTATTTTTCTTCGTCTTTAGAATCTTACATGTTTGAAATAAATAAAATTTTCAACATAAAGATGATTATAAGTCACTTATGCTCTTACGTAGATTTAGAGCAGGAATAAAGTCTCTTATTTTCCTAGTCTTGTATTAGGCATTGTTTTAAAGAATTACCGCAGGTTTTGAAGTTCAGTTAAGAATCGGAAGTTCCTATTTTGAAAAACTGTTTAAAAATCACATTTCCAAACTTTTTAGAGTATCTTCAGGTCACATTTAATACCCATATGCATTGATCTGGAAGGATTCCATGATATTATTGCTCAGTGAACAAATCAGGTTGCTGGTTGGTAGGTATCTAGTAATCGCTGTCATGTAATGTGATGTGTCTGTACAGCTGTCTGGAAAGATGGTCACCAAAATGACAATGGTGGTTGCCTCTGCACTGTGGGATTTTGGTGGTTTTATTTTCACCTTTATTCCTCTCTGTATTATTGGATTTTATACATGATTACATATTATTTTTATAAAACCAAAAAGAATACCCTCCTGTGGGAAGAAAAATACTTTTATATAGAAAAGTTGCTACATAATAGCAAATAGTCTTATTAGACTATTGTTTTTAGTTTCTCATTGCCCAACATTGTATCAGATATCCATATGGGAAGCTTAACATATGGTAAATAGACTTTATATCTTTTTGATGCATCTTTCAATCTTCTTATATTATTATATGGAATAATAACTCCTATTTGGGATTTCTTGCTTTGCTCCTTTCTTTACTCAGTAGGTGGTGTTTTTGTCTTTGCTCTTTTCTTCTTAATGAAAACCATCAATATACAGTTATTGAGGCTTACTTTGTATAGATTGCTGGTGATACAAAGTGGTAGGAGACATGGTTTCAGTCTTAAGGGGACTTCTAGACCTATTAGAGAGGCAGAAAATATGACTACAGATGAATTGCAGTATGGATAGCTTTTGCTAAATGAACAGTTATTAGGAAACTAAACAAGTAATCTAGTTAGAATTCAATATGGTAATTAAATCAAACTTATAGACAAGTTAATATATATTTAATGATATGTGATTCTTTACCATCGTCTTATCAGCATCTGTGGATTTAATGTTAAAAATTTCAGTTATTCTTGAATAATCTATAGGATTTTGCTTACTATAATGTATAATTTTCCTGAAGTAAAATTTTAAATTATGCATCTTTGAGGCTGAAATGTGGGAAGGAAGCACAGGGCTAGTGAGTGTGAGTTTAGAAGTCACACTTAGAAGCCAGTATGTAGTGTTCTTTTGCTCATCTGGCACGGAATTCATCTTCCAAAACAGTGAGAGTTCAGGTAGAAAGGTAAATTGGTGCTATAAGGTGTAAAGCCTCAAATATTTGGTTGAAAAGTTAATACTTGGACAAGTTGACACCTCTGAGTATTTTCATTGATTAAGATTTTAATTTACTGAGAATCACTGTTAGGGTTTTGTGGTGTTTTACAAATTTTTTTTTTATATGGAGAATTTTGAGCATACACAAAAGTAGAGAGAATAGACAGAATAATAAAATGAACTTCCATAAATGCATCACCCAGCCCGAACAACCACTAACACGTGATTGATTAATCCTACCCCATTGACCCCCCACCTACTTCTGTATTTTGAAACAAATCCCAGATACTTAATTTTATCTACAAATAATTTACTAGGTATTGCTAAAAGATAGACATAAAAAACAATACTTTTAATATCAGGGGTTCTTAATATATGATCTTAGAGCACTTTGGTGGGGAGGAAGGTCTCTGGAATGTCTGAAATTCTATGCAAACTTTTGTCTGCATGTGTTTGCATGAATTTTAACTTGACCTTCATAGAGTCTCAAAAGGTTCATAATCCACAAAGGATATTCTCAGAACCACATATCAGATCATAGAGCAGGCAATACTGTCTTATAAATAGAAGCATAAATAAAGCTCTTATAAATAAAATAAGCATTTATATCAGATTTCATCTTTTATAGGGTTATGTGATGAAAAAAGGCCATAGACGGAAAAACTGGACTGAACGCTGGTTTGTGCTGAAACCCAACATAATCTCTTATTATGTGAGTGAAGATCTGAAAGATAAGAAAGGAGATATTCTCTTGGATGAAAATTGCTGGGTGGAGGTAAAGCTCTTACTCTCTGCATGATTGACCTGGTGCTGCCCCCTGCTGCTGAAGTAGTTTCTCATCTACATTCTTGACCCTCCAAACCCATTGCCATGGAGTCTATTCTCATAGCAAACCTACAGGGCAGTGTAGAACTGCCCCATGGGGTGTCCAAACCTGTAGTCTTTACAGAAGCTGACTACCACATCTTCATCCTGCAGAGCAGCTGGTGGATTCAAACTGCTGGTCTTCTGGTTAGCAATTGAGAACTTAACTGCTACACAATCAGGGCTCCTTTTCCTAGACCTTAGAGCTTTAAAATAATCCTATAATTTTACATTTCTAAACCAATATAGGAATACAACAGCCATTTTCCAAACAATATAGGCATACAGTAGCCATATTTGTGATGTAGACAGAATTTGTTTTTCTAAGCTCTGGTGGTGTAGTGCTTAAGGCATTTGACTGCTGACCAGAAGTTGGCAGTTCAAACCCACCAGCTACTCCACAGAAGGAAGACTGGGCAGTCTACTTCAGTAAAGATTTACCCTTGGAAACCCAAAGGGGGGTCGCTATGAGTTGGACTTGATGGCCTTGAGTTTTTTTTATTTTATTTTAATATGACTTTATCTTCTCTCTTTTACTCACAAAGTATAGAGATCGACAGTCATTTATTTGTATATTTAATGAATTGTTTATTAAATAGAGTCTTAAAATAGAAATGAATTAAAAAACCCAACCGTTTATAAAGACAAATTTGAAATCATGAATATACCAGAAAATCTGGGACATTTTGAGAATAATAAATGAAACAGAAGAAGATGTAAGCATTACCTTTGAATACTTTGAGTGACTTTCAAGATACTTTATTCATAATTACTAATTCTGTAAAGAAGTGAAGTCCTCAAGATCATAAACTTTTCAGTTTTTAGTTTATGTGTGAACTATCACCCTGCTTGTTTCTATCAAAGAACATTTAAGATATTTAGGATCTCACCATAGTGCATTTTGATGAATGGAGTGGTATAGATATATTAATGACTAGAGACCACTAAATGGTCTTCTTAGATTCAACAAAATGTGCAGACTCACAAGACTACCATAGGCCATACCAGTCTACCCATAAAAATGTAGGACAGAACCACAACTTGCCAGCAACAACTGCCCAGGTGCAACAAGAGGAGAGCTACATTAGGCAGGTGTGGGAGTCACCCTGGCTTAAAAGCCAATACCTTTTGTAACAATTCCATGGGTGTACCTTCTAGGGCCCCTCAAGGGACTGCTCTGGTATAAGAGTGGCCAGATGTGTATAGTTAGTTGTTTATAGGTCTTTCAGTCCAGATGTAATGTAGTCATGGATCATAAGTAATGTTGCCTAGGGGATAGTATTTGTAAATCAGTAATAAGCATTGATTGCTATTTTTCATTGACATTGAGTTTTAGCCAGATTGGTATAAATAATTAATACAAATAATGTAAATTAAATTAAATATGTAAAAATTTAGTATTAAATCACGAAATTTGCTTTTTGTTTTAGTCCTTGCCTGACAAAGATGGAAAGAAATGTCTTTTTCTCATAAAATGTTTTGATAAATCCTTTGAAATCAGTGCCTCAGATAAGAAGAAGAAACAGGAATGGATTCAAGGTAAGGTAGTTTTATGATTTCCCATGATTTAACATGAGAGGTCTCCCTATTTTTGAATCTCCTTAAAGAGGCTAAGGCACTCTTTCTTCATTGTCTGTATTTCTGTGTGTTACATAATAGTTGAAAGAAAAATGAATTAAGATGAGTTAACAAACTTTTTGTCAATATCATTTTAATAATAAACTTGATGGTAAATTATAAACTGGAGATTTTAGGTTTTCTTCACTCTTACTATTTAAAAAGTATAGAATTTCCCCTTTGAGGACTATGAAGAATTTTAAAGTGGTCATCTTGAGTTTTGGATAAGAAACAAAGTGAAATACAATAGATTTTAAATATGTGAAGTCATTTTAAAGATCCATTACTTCCACAAGAAATCACTGGTTTCAAATAATTGTCTTAATATTATAAACTTTTAAATTGATAGCTTTCAAACCAAAGTATTGCGTTGTTCCAAAATTGTAAAGAATGAGTTTTTTTTTTTTTTTTCAAATCATGAAAGTGGATTCTGAATATTATTATACTCTTGAACATAGGTAAAATTATGTTCTATTGAAAATTGTGGTCATTTTTTTTTGTGTGTGTAAAGGTTTAAGAGTTTGAGGCAAGTACCCCTGTGTTTGAATCCTCTTTCCTGGATCACTTGAGTTGAGTTAATAATTCTATAGGTGCTTAATTACCTCTTCTTTGAAATGCGGATGATAATAATACCTACCTCTCAGGATTATCGTGAGTATTAAACATTAGATAATAACAGATACACTTGCACGTTTTCAAAATGACATAAATCATTACAGCAATGTCTGTCATAGTAAGAATTGCAAACAACCTAAATGTCCATTAATTGGGAAATGGTTGAATGAATTACGGTGTAGCTACCCAGTGGAGTACTATGCAATAGAAGAATAACGGGGAGGCTCTTTATGTATTGTTAAGGAAAACTCTCTGAGATAACGTAAACGAAAAAAAGCAAAGGCCAGAAGAATGTGTTATGCCACTAAAATTCACTATCATCAAGTTGATTCCGACTCATATTGACTCTGTAGGACAGAGTAGAACAGTTCCACAGGGTTTCCAAGCCTATAAATCTTTAAGGAAGCAGACTGCCTCAATCTTTCTCCTGCGGAGCAGCTGGTGGGCTTAAACCACTGTGCTTTTGGTTAGCAGCTGAATGCTTTAACCACTATATCACAGTTATGCCACTACTTGTGTTAAAAGAATGTGAGGCGATATATATATATATATTTGTAGATGGTTGTAAATATTTTAGGAAAGATGCATAAAAAAAACATTAGCATATATAAATCTTTATGGTAGCAGACTGCCTCATCTTTCTTCTGTGGAGCAGCTGGTGGGTTTGAACTGCCAGCATTTTGGTTCACAGCAGAATACTTTAACCAATGCACTACCAGAAATAATTTTACTTTTGCTTGTACAGACTTATAAACTAATTGGTATGTGCCAATGTGTTCTTTAACAGATGTTTCTCTGGTTGCACTTGTTTACCACATCCTAATAAAGGCATAATTTAGAATTAATGTGGCATTCATGGATATACCAAATTAATTGCTGGTGGAATTAAAATTGTAGACTTATTTTGTTGTTTTTAAAAGCCAAAATATTTAAAACTAAGAATAATTATGTGTCATTTTAATTGTTATTTATATTAAGAATATATATTTTATCTTAACTTTCATGCAAATAGGACAGATCTTTTTTTTTTTTCTGAGAATGATAAGGCTGTCATCTTAGCCTGCTGAAATGTTTTGGTATTTTTATATTAAATTTATATTATACTTAGTCAATTTATAGGAGCTCTGGTAGCGTAGTGCCTAAGGCACTTGATTGCTAACCAGAAGACTGGTGGTTCAAACCCACCACCCACTCCTTGGAAGGAAGGTTGGGCAATCTGCTTCTGTAGTGATACTGCCTCGGAAACCCAAGGAAGAGTCGCTATGAGTCGGGTCTGACTCAACGGCACATAACAACAACAACAGTCAATTTATATTGGTTCTATTTTGTATTTTAACACCTTTCAAGTTTATAGCCCTTCCTTTTCTCGAGAATAAAGGTCATAGAAAGCAAAAAAAAAAAAAAAAAAATCTGTTAGCATAGTTGCTACAGGGAGGGGAACCCAGTGTTTGGGGAATAGAAAGAAGAGGGAAACTTTTCCTATATGTTTTTAGTGCTTTCGCAGTTTGAATAATGTGAAAGTATTAGCTGTTCAAGAATTAAATGTAAATAATTAAAACAATTTAGGAAAAATCTTATTTCATGTAAAAATTAGATAATGGGCATATTAGTCCATATGCAATAAATGGTAACTACTGTTATCATTTATGAAAAGGCATGTAGAGGGAAATGGTTTCATAAGGCACAGATGAGGGACAGATTAAACACAGGAGGTAGCAAACCAGGTCTCAGGAACTTTTAGTCTCAGCCATGAGTCTGTGTTATTCTTATTTGGCTTTTTGAGAAGTATAGAGAAGGGAGTTGGAAGTATTGTTGTAAGTTCCCAGATCAGTATCATCTTAAGCCTAAATATCAGTTAGGAAATTTGGGAGCTGCAAGGGACTTTACAAATTATCTCCCTCATTTTAGAGATGAGGAAACTGATGCTGCAAGTGGTTATATGACTGCTAAATGTCACAGCACCCTCAGAGGCAGAATCAGTGTCCACACCAGATCTTCTGACTTGAAAGAGGTTTTCTTCCCCTGTGCCATTCACATGTTAGACTAGAGAGTAAAGAGTATTTTCTTTTTTTTCTCCTTCCCTTTTACAGCCATTCATTCTGCTATTCATCTGTTGACGCTTGGCAGCCCCCTCCCACACAAAGAGGCCCGCCAGCGTCGGAAAGAACTTCGGAAGAAGCTGCTGGCTGAGCAAGAGGAGCTGGAGCGACAAATGAAGGCGCTCCAGGCTGCCAATGAAAACAAGCAGCAGGAGCTGGAGACCGTGAGGAAGGTGGGATTAGGCACTGGGCTGGGGGACATAGGGTTCAGGGAGGGAGCAGCTCTCCATTTCATTGCAGAAGCCTCAGTGACCTTATTTATAAACTTTGGTTTTGCCAAGACTGTTGTTGTTGTTGTTGTTGTTTGCCATCGAGTCAGCCCCGACTCATAGCGACCCCTCCTTGGGTTTCCGAGGCAGTATCACTACGGAAGTAGGATTGCCCAACCTTCCTTCCGAGGAGTGGCTGGTGGGTTTGAACCGCCAGCCTTCTGGTGAGCAGTCAAGTGCCTTAGGCACTATGTTTTGAGAGATGTTTTTGATGAACTGTTTTCTCAGAAAGTATATTCAGACCACTGAGTTGAGACACCTTGGCTGTGCCAGCCCTCAAAGTATTAGGGTCTCAGAGCAGCAAACATTTCATTGACTAAACCAAACTGACTGCCATCGAGTCGGATCCAACTCATAGCGATCCCTCCTTGGGTTTCTGAGGTGGGTAGATTGCCCAATCTTCCTTCCAAGGAGTGGCTGGTGGGTTTGAACCACCAGCCTTCTAGTTAGCAGTCAAATGCCTTAGGCACTATGACAACAATGAACACTGTTGAATTTTGTCAGAGAAAGACAGAAAAAAATCATTCCCCTGAGGATATCAATGCCATTTTTGGTGACCTGGGAAGCATCTATTGCTTTTTAATTTTTTTCCCCTTATTTTCTATCTTCATTCATCATTACCTTGAAGACCCTTAATAGTAGAATAGTGGCTTTTACATTTACTATTTGATGTTCAAAGATATAGCTTGATGGTGGGTAGAGGGTGCAACAGACTCTATTTAACTGAGATTTAGTAGATTTTGTTAAATTAATATCTTTCTATTTGCTATATGCTTTCAGAAATATTTCCATAGATTTTAATTTTTAAAAATAATAATTTTCACTGGTTATGGGCAAAGTACCACCACTCATCTGTCAGTTTGTCAGACTGCTATGACTTGTATGTTGCTGTAATGCTCAAAAGTATGCCACCAGTATTTCAAATACCAGCAGGGTCACCCATGGTGGACAGGTTTCAGGGAGCTACAGCCTAAGACAGACTAGGAAAAAGGATATATTGTCACTTCTGGTAAAACTGACTACTGAAAACCTTATGAATACAGTGGAACACTGTCTGATATATACTACTGGATGATGAGCCCCTCAAGTTGTAAGAAACTCAAAATACGACGGGGAAGAGCTGCCTCCTCAGAGTAGAGGTGATCTTAATAACATGGGTGGAGTAAAGCTTTCAGAACTCTCATTTGCTGATGTGGCATGACTCAATACAAAAAAAAAGCCATTAATAATCAGAACGTGGAATGTATGAAGTATGAATTTTGGAAAATTGGAAGTTGTCAAAAATGAAATACACAAAGAATTGATATAATGCATAAAGAATTGACAAATTGAAGAGAAATGATGTCACATTCATCATCAAAAAGAAAATTTCAAGATCTATCCTGAAGTATAGTGCTGTTAGTAATGGATAATATCCATACACCTACAAGGAAGACCAGTTAATACTACTATATTCAAATTTATAGACCAATCACTAAAGTGGAAAATGAAGAAACTGAAGATCCTTACCAACTTCTGCAGTCTGAAAGTGACCAAAACATGCAATCAAGATGAATTGATAGTTAATGGTGGTTGGAATGTGAAAGTTGGAAACAAAGAAGCATCAGTAGTTGGAAAATATTGCTTTGGTGATGGAAATAATGCTGGAGATTGCATGATAGAATTTTGCCAAGACCAATGAATTATTCATTGCAAATATCTTTTTTCATCAACATAAATGGTGACTATACATGTGAACTGCACCAGATAGAATTAAATCAATTACATTTGTGGAGAGAGACAATGAGAAAGCTCAATATTACCAATCAGAACAAGGCCAGAGGCCAATGGTGGAACAGAGGCATCAATTGCTCATATGCAAATTTAAGTTGAAGCTGAAGAAAATGAAAAGAAGTACATGAAAGTCAAAATACAACCTTAAGTATATCACACCTGAATTTAGAGGCCATCTAAAGAATACATTTGATGCATTGAACACCAATATCCAAAGATCCCACGAGTTGTGGATGAGATCAAAGACATCATACATAAGGAAAGCAAAAGGTCATTAAAAACACAGGAAAGAAAGAAAAGACCAAAGTGGATGCCAGAAAAGTCTCTGAAACTTGCTTTTCAATGGAGAGGAGCTAAAGTGAATGGAAGAAATGATGAAATAAAAGAGCTTAACAGAAGTTTCAAGGGGTGACTTGAGAAGACAAAGTAAATGTACAAAGACCTGGAGTTAGAAAATCAAAAGGGAAAAACATGTTTGTTATGTCTCAAGCAGAAAGAACTTAAGAAATCAAGCCTCAAGTTGCAATATTGAAGGATTCTATGGGCAAGGATATTGAATGGTGCTGGAAGCATCAAGATACGGTGGGAGGAATGCAGAGTCACTGTACCAGAAGAATTGGTCAGTGTCCCTCCATTTCAGCATGTAGTATATGATGAAGAACTGATGGTATTGAAGGAAGAGAGGTCCCAGCTACACTGAAAGAATTGGCAAAAAACAAGGCTCCAGGGGTTCGTGGAATACCCAGCCCACTGAGACGTTTCAACAAATGGATATTGTGCTAGAGGCACTCATTTATGCCAAGAAATTTGGAAGATAACTACCTGGCCAACTGACTGGAAGAAATTCATATTTGTGCCCATTCTAAAGAAAGGTGATCCAAGAAAATGTGGATATTATTGAACAATATCATTGATATCACATACAAGTAGAATTTTACTGAAGGTAATTTTAAAATGTTCGCAGCAGTACATCAACAGAGAACTGCCACATATTCAAGCTGGATTCGGAAGAGGACATGGAATATCATTGCTAATGTCAGATGGATCTTGGCTGAAAGCAAAGACTGCCAGAAAGATGTTTACTTGTATTATATTGACTATGCAAAGGCATTCAACTGTGTGGATCATAATAAATAATGGATAACACTGGGAAGAATGAGAATTTCAGAACATTTAATTGTGCTCATGTGGAACCTGTACATAGATCAAGAAGCATTCGTTTGAACAGAACAAGGGGACACTTCATGGTTTGAAATCAGGAAAGGCGTACATTAGGGTTTTATCCTTTCACCTTTCTTGTTTGATCTCTAAGCTGAGCAAATAGTCTGAGAGGCTGGACTTCTATGAAGAAGAATGTGGTATTAGGATTGGAGGAAGACTTATTAACAGCCTGTAGGATGCAGATGACACTGCCTTGCTTGCTGAAAGTGAGGAGAACTTGGAGCACTTACTGATGAAGATGAAAGACTACAGCCTTCAGTATGGATTACACCTCAATATAAAGAGCACAGAAATACAACTGGACCAATAAGCAATATCACTATGAATGGAGAAAAGATTAAACTTGTCAAGGATTTCATTTTACTTGGATCAATAATCAACACCCATGGAAACAGCAGTCAAGAAGTCACATGATGTATTACGTTGGGTAAATCTGTTGTAAAAGACCCCTTTGAAGTGGTTAGAGCAAAGCTGTCACTTCGAAGATGAATTGACACTGGCTGCAACAATGGGCTGGAGCATAGCAAGGATTGTGTGGACAGCGCAGAACCGGGCAGTGTTTTGTTCTGTTGTACAGAGGATCACTGTGAATCGAAAGTGACTTGACGTTGTCTAACAACAACAACAACGTGGGGAAAGTGTGCAGGGCTCTTCATGCCTCCATTCTGAAGTTCCAAAGTCAAGCTCTGATAAAATTTTAAGGAATAATGTGTATGATGATAATACTGTATAGAAAAAGCCGGAGAAATACATCTTAATCCTCAAGCATGCATTTGCAAGTAAATTTAACTCAATGACTGTGTAACTTTTTTTTTTTTTTTGCAAAGTGTTATTCAGACTTATCAAAGTCATTCATTTACCTAATTTGCTTTGTATGCGGACAAGGGAAAATTGTTGGATTGGAATTCCAATTGATGTAAAAGTTTTTATTCTATCTTTTTGAATGCTAAGAATGCTTGGCTTTTCCTGTATGTGACTTCTCTTTCTGAATGCACTTCCACTGTAACAATTCCTGCTTTTCTGTGGTGGGTTTTTGATTGGGTAGAAACTGGAAGAAGCAGCATCTCGTGCAGCAGAAGAAGAAAAGAAACGCCTGGAGACTCAAGTGGAACTACAGGCCAGGTTCAGCACGGAGCTGGAGCGGGAGAAGCATGTGAGTGCCACGCGGCTGGGGAAGCTACTGCCTTAGTGCACTGAGCCAGCTTGGGTCACTGGAAAGGGGGAGGGCTGCATGGCTGGAGGAGAGGCTGTCTCATCCACTTGGCTCTGCTACTTATTGCAGTAGGAGATTGGGGGAAGTTATGTGTTCGTTCGTTCATTTACTATCCATGTATCAAATATACTCTGTATGCTAGATACTGTGCCAAGAATACAGAGATAAAATGACATCCACCTTTCTTCCAAGCTCCTAAATAGAAATTTATTGAATGGGGTGATAAATTCTGTGGTTAGGGTGACTATATGTCCTGGTTTGCCTGGGACAATTCCTGTCATCCTGGTCTAATTGTTATTAGCATCCCTTTTCATTCTTAGAAGTATTCTTTTTGGATAACAAAAAGCTATGGGAATAGCAGGCATTTCTCCTTTGTAGTGAGCAAAGTGGGGCTTCTGAAAATCGTGAGAACGTATAATTCTGATCTGTTGCTCTTGGCCACTATGAGTATTCTTGTGACACTTACTGTTCTGCCATGAGGAAATGGAAACTCTTATTTCCTCTTAATTCTCTTAGATAATGACCTGCCTTCTGTAAGTGGGAAGAAAGAAATCAAGACATTTCGACATTTAAATTGGATGTCCCTGTGCCTGTTACTGTAGTTATGTTCTGTGGAGTTGATTCTGACTCATAGTGACCCTATGTGAGAGTAGAACTGCCCTGTAGGGTTTCCTAGGCTTCACAACCATTCTCACCCCCCTTTTCTAAGTTGTTCCTCATTAACAGAACTCATTGCCTCGAGGTTCCTATCTAATCTTTCAAGTTGCTGTTGTCAATTTGATCCCATGTACATAGTTCTTAAGAGATCACAGTGCTCCAAGCAGGCATTCTTTACTAGTTAAGCTAAACTGATGTGTGGTTTTAAGACCATTTTGGAGAATACTTTTGGTTTAATGTTTAATGATTATCTCATGGTAATAGTTTCAGGGGTCCATCTACCCTCCTTGACTTGATTCTTTGTGTGTGTGTGTGTGTGTGTGTGTGTGATTTGGGTGAAATTTTACAGAGCAAATTCATTTTCCATACAGCAGTTCCTATACATTTTGTTTCATGACATTGACTGCAATTCCCCACACTGTAACAGCTCTCTTCCCTGTGTCCTTCTTTCCTGTGTATTCCTGCCCCCTGAGCTATCTCCCTGTGCAAATACTGCCCTTCTGTTCTCCCATGACTGATTGTTCTGAGGAGTGTATATACCTCATGTAAATGTTCACTCTTTGTGCCTGTCTCTTATTTGTCTGGAAGCCATGAGAGTGAGTTCAATTCCAGACCTGAAGGGTAAGTAGAGGCCACAGTCTTGAGAGTCTCACCAGGCTCTATCAGATCACTTGACTTGATTCTTAAAATGTGGAATGGAAGAGATGAAAAATATACCAGGGCAAGGAAACAGCATTTGGGTTGTGGTTTGTTTTCCAGGAGCTCTTTTAATGTTGGTATAGGGCATAGTGTTCTCATCGCCTCTATCTTTAGTTCAGGGATTGAATGATGGGGACCTGTGCCCCTGATGGGGTATACCTGTGGACTGTGGACAGTACTTCATGGTAGAGGTGGAGTGGGAGGCTTTCCTTGAAGAAAAAGTTAACCTGCTTTTAAACACGACCCTTTTATGTCACCAGATCAGACAGCAGATGGAAGAACAGGTTGCCCAAAAATCCTCGGAACTAGAACAGTATTTGCAGCGAGTACAAGAGCTGGAAGACATGTACCTAAAGCTGCAGGAGGCTCTTGAAGATGAGAAACAGGCCCGACAAGATGAAGAGACTGTGCGGAAGCTTCAGGCCAGGTGCCAGATCAGCTTGTATACCTTGTCTTTATGTATTTTGCTTGGGCTAATACATTTTCCAGGAAATGTCTAACACTGGTGGAGAGGGAGGAGTAGCTGTACTCTGTATAACTGAGCTCAAGGTGCAGATCCAGACCCCAGGAGACTTGGCTGGCTGGGTTGTTCTCAGTCTGGGGCACTAGGAGACCTTGCTTCTGGCCCTAAGAATGGTCTTACTGCTATTTTAGTGCAGTCTGTTGAGTATGTTTGGTGGGGTGCCTGTGTAGTCAGTCATGTTCTAGAATGATCCCAGGATCAGCTCTAATGAAAACCTGGCTTCTTAGGCTTGTCCCAAGGACGTGGTGCTGCCTTCGTGTAGAGGCTGGAGTCTGCTTCAGGCCAGACTTGGCAGCCATTTTGGGGGGAGAAGGAAGAGGCAGTTTCCATTTGGTCATTCAGGATTGGTGACATTCCTTAAATAATGATTACTTGAAATCTTAGTTTTAAAATTTCTGAAAGCTAGATTTTTTTTTTTTTTGTCTTAAAGCTTTAAATTCAGGTTTCCTGTTTATGATACTCTTATTCTCACATGAGAACTACCAATTTTGCTGTTTTGCAGCAGGAGAGGAGAAAGTACAATGAAGATCCCAAGGGGAAATTTGAGGCATAAATCTTTTCCTCCAGTTTCTCACTTTCTGCCCCATTTGCATTTTTGTAAATGTCTTGTCAGGGAGTTTAAATGTTATTGAAAAATGTTACTGAAAATATTTATCCTGGTAGCAGCCACCTAGGCTTTGAGCTGTGACCTCTGTTGGAGCAGTTGTGAGATGAACTGGATTTGATTTTCCGTGGCTGCCATCCCACACGTGGAATAGCTTATGAGGTGGTTATTTAATCTTTAGATAGGAAGAGAGGAAAAAAGGAGTTCTTTGTTTGTATGCCTTGCCAAAAATAATTAGGTTTAGAAAATTTGGATTGTATTAAAGGAAAAATTATTTTCTAAATAGAAAATGAAACGCTTATATTGTCCAGCATTTATGGGCCCATCATTTTATGGGCCCATCAGTATGTAGTCAGTACACTGTTATTAAGCTAGATTCTTAGAACTACTTTCCAGTTGCCACTGGGCAGTGACATTAGCTGAAGATCCACTGGATGGGAAAGTTTGAGCCCCACATGGCTTCTAAAGAGAGGCATTCTAAGTATCTCTAGACATTTTTTGAGCCTCTTCATAATTTGTGCTATTGGGAATTGATAGATCTTGTGCAGAGAATTCACAGGTATTTATATTACTTATCTAGAATTTTGACTAAGGTCCATTATGACAAAACAGGGATTAGATCACAGAGGAAATCCTATAACTTTAGGAATGTATTAAAATATTGTTTGGTGTTTATAGAATGAATGATGCTTTGAGAAAGGGTGCAGTAGTGGTCTTTAACCCGTCAGGTATATAGCATGCTTGGCTGCTAACCTAAAGGTTGGAGGTTCAAATCTATGTGCAGGTACCTCAGAAGAAAGGCCTGGTGAGTAACTCCAAAAACCAGCCATTGAGACTGTATGGAGCACAGTTCTGCTCTAATACACATGGAGCTATCATGAGTCAGCATCGACTCAGTGGCAGCTAGGGTGGTGGTGGTATGTTTCAGAATCCTGTATAGAGCCTTTTAAAAAGTATGTATGGGGCCTGTACTAAGTTTAATGAATCTGAATCAAAATATCTGTGGATAAGAGTTGAGCATGAGTTTCCCTTTTTTAAATTGTGATAAGTATATGTGTAACAAAACATTTGTCATTTCAACATTCTTCACATGTTAAATTCAGTGACATTAATTATATTTATCATGTTGTTCATCCATCACCACTATTAATTTCCAAATTTTTTCTTACCCTTAACAGGAGCTCAGTGTCCCCTAAAGCGTGACTATTTTTATTTAAAAAATTTTGAACACCCCTTCAAAAAAAAAAAAAAAATTCTGGCAAATTCTTTGGCACATTTTGATGTAAACAGTTAGTAAAATGGCTTCAGGCTTTTGGATGCAAATATGGCATATGGCTACTACATGCTGTTATGCACCAATAAGCTGAGAGGACTGCACATGAGTTACCTTTTCTTCATGTGCAAAGTGCATATTGTTCCATTACTATTCTACAGCACTTTTCTAACATTTAAAGATGGACAGTTTGAAATGGACAACTCTGCCCCTTCTAGTGGTCATTTTTCCCCCCAGTGGTCAGTTTGAAGTGCCCCTGTCTTTTCTGATGTCACTGAAGGGTAAGCTGGATGCAGAGAGACGTTCTCTCATTAGAGGGGCTTCCTCCTTACTCCCATGCCTTCAGATAGGCCTTTGTGGGTACAACAAGCAAGGGAAGTCACCAAGGGAGTTGGGTGGTTGTTGTTTTTGTTGTTATGTGCTGTCGAGTCAGCCCCGACTCATAGCGACTCCTCCTTGGGTTTCCGAGGCAGTATCACTACGGAAGTAGATTGCCCAACTCTCCTTCGAGGAGCGGCTGGTGGGTTTGAACCACCAGCCTTCTGGTTAGCAGTCCAGTGCCTTAGGCAGTATGCTACCAGAGCTCCTTGGAGTTGAGTTAGAATCATTTATGTTGGGCACTAATGAAATGAAGGAGCTCTGGTAGCATAGTGCCTAACGTACTTGACTGCTAACCAGAAGGCTGGCGGTTCAAACCCACCAGCCACTCCTTGGAAGGAAGGTTGGGCAATCTACTTCCGTAGTGATACTGCCTCAGCAACCCAAGGAGGAGTCACTATGAGTCGGGTCTGACTCCACGGCATATAACAACAACAACAACAATGAAATGAAACATAATCTGAGGCCAAGGGTGTACAAAAAGGCTTATTATTTTCAGTTAACCCTCCCTTTTCCTTTCTTAAAGGAGCCCTGGGGACACAATGGTTAACCACCAGCTGCTAACCAAAGAGTCAGCGGTTGAAACCCACCAGTTGCTCTGGGGGAGAGAGATGTGGCAGTCTGCTTCTATAAAAGATTTGTAGCCTCGGAAACCTACTTCTGCCTTGTCCTATAGGCTGCTGTGATCAGAATCAACTTGAGGGCAACAGACTTGGTTATTTTTTTTTGGGGGGGGGATCCCTTTCTTAAAGCAATAGTAAATCATTCTTGGAATATTTGGCATCTCATTATTGTAGTGGATAGTCCTTTCTCTGACAGTATCTTAAATTTTCCTAGAGATACATTTTATAGTAAATTATTTAAACATATGAACTTTGATTTGAGCCATTTGAGTTTTGTAGTTATTTTATTTGTCTTTTAAAATAATATATTACTGTGTTTTTGGTGAAGGTTTACCCAGCAATTTAGGTTCCCATTCAATAATTTCTACACTAATTGTTCAGTGTCATTGGCTACATTCTTCACAATGTGTGAATATTCTCATTTCCATTTGGTTGTTCCATTTCCATTTATCTAGTTTCCCTGCTCCCTTATATTCTCATCTTTGTTTTAAAATAATTGTTGACTGTTTGGTCTTCTATAGATGATTTTTTAAAGGAGCCCAGCACTTATAGGTGATACTACTTTTTGAGCCAATTTGTTATTCAGCTACAAGGTAAACTTAGGGGTTACTTTCAGTTCAAGATCTGAAGAGTATCTCAAAGTGGTAGTGTCAGGGAGTCCTCTAGCCTCAAGAAATCTAGTAGTTCTGGCACTTTTTTTGTTTTTTAGGAGTTTGGGGTTCTGTTCCACATTTTTCTCCCGTTCTACCAGGGTCCGTCTATAGAATGGTTGGAGCTGTAGCCAGGCACCATCTGGTTCTTCTGGTCTCAGGGTAGATGAGGCTGTGGTTTGTGTAGACTGTGTCCTATAGACTCGTTTCTTTTTTGAGTCTTTGGTGTCCATCTTCCCTTTTGCTCTGGCCAGGTAGAGATCAATGGTTGTATCTTAGATGGTCACTTACAAGCTTTTAATATCCCAGAGACTACTCATCAAACTAAGATGTAGAGCATATAATTTTTTTTTAATTAAAATTTAAATGTCTTAAAATTGAAGGGAGGTTATCTAGCCTCTTCAGAATGAGAACTGAGAAAACTGCTATTTAACATTTGGAAAACTCAGGTCACTGGAAAGGTCTTGATGATGAGCCATAACCTGTCCCTTTATAATGGTCATTACTAAATTTTTGGGTCCATAAGGCCTGGACCATCTCTTGTTGTTGTTGTTGTTGTTTGCCGTCTAGTCGGCCCCGACTCATAGCGACCCCTCCTTGGGTTTCCGAGGCAGTATCACTACGGAAGTAGGATTGCCCAACCTTCCTTCCGAGGAGTGGCTGGTGGGTTTGAACCGCCAGCCTTCTGGCGAGCAGTCAAGTGCCTTAGGCACTATGCTACCAGAGCTTCTGGACCATCTCTTAGTCATGTTTGTATTCCTAACAACTGGTTCAGTGCCTGCTGCACAGTAAGCACCTAAGGAATATTTTTTGAATGGTTGAGTGGATCCAAGTTCTACCCATAGGGCCTTGTCTAACAACCAGTTTCCTTCCATGTAATAATACTTTTTATACATTTGAAGGCAGTTTGGAATAGTGGGAAGACATAGGCTATGGAATGAGGTCTGGGTTTGAATCCCAGCTCTGCATTCTAACTGTATAATTTTGGAGATATTATTTCACTACACTACTCTGAGCTTCAATTTCTCATCTATAAAGTAAGAGTAATTAGTAGCCTTGTAGGGTTGTTGTGAAGATTAAATGAGGTAATACATGAAGCGTTTACTGTAACGTCTGGCATTTGGTAGGCACTCAGTGTGTTGGTTTCTGTTTCTTTCATAACCTTTGCATGTGGAGAAGATGTTGTTATGTGCCATCAAGCCGGACCCGACTCATAGAGACCCCTCCTTGGGTTTCTGAGGCAGTATCACTACGGAAGTAGATTGCTCCATCTTCCTTCTGAGGAGTGGCTTGTGGGTTTGAACCGACAGCCTCTGGTTAGCAGTCAAGTGCTTTAGGCACTATGCTACCAGAGCTCCTATGGAGAAGATTTAGAACGTTTATTATATATCTGGATCAGACTCATAGTGACCCCTCCTTGGGTTTCTGAGGCAGTATCACTATGGAAGTAGACTGCCTAATCTTACTTCTGAGGAGTGGCTGGTGGGTTTGAACTGCAGTCAAGTGTCTTAGGCACTACACCACCAGAGTTCCATATAATGTATGGAAAGTAAAAATAAGCATTTTAAAAAGATCTTGACAGGCCAGAAAGATAGTTTTAGACTGAGAAGATAGTTTAAAATATCAACAGAACAAGTACAGAATCTAGTAGACTTGGCATAATGGCAATTCATTTGAAAAGATTTAGAGTTTTAATTCCTTGTGATGTGGTTACTGAAAACCTCATGCAATCGTAGGTACCCTTAATGAATGTGAAATGTGCAGATGAGATAATAGCCCTACTATAATATTCAGCACTTACTAGGTGGTAGGCAGGAGCTCTGGTAGCATAGTGCCTAAGGCACTTGACTGCTAACCAGAAGGCTGGCGGTTCAAACCCACCAGCCACTCCTCGGAAGGAAGGTTGGGTAATCTACTTCCGTAATGATACTGCCTCAGAAACCCAAGGAGGGGTGGCTATGAGTCGGGTCTGACTCAACAACATATAACAACGACAACAACAACAGGTGGTAGGCACTGTTCTAAGTACTTTACATGCGTTACCACATTTAATACATCAGTAAACCTTTGATGGTAGATAACATTTCTATGCCTTTTTTATAAATGAGGAAACTGAGGCATAGAAAAGTTAAAGTCTTTAGTCAGGGCTCTTGTTTGCAAATCACAGAAACCAACTTTAGTTAGCTAAAACAATAAAGGAATTTATTGGTAGGATCACCAGTTCATAGGGAGCCAGATGGCCAGGCCTTGAACACAAGGAAGAACCAAGAGAAACTGAGCAGCCCAACCTGGCCATAGGAAGAGTCTTCCACTCATGCCAACAGTGGTGTCCCCTGTTAGAAGTCACCATTGTTCCTTCTGTCACTCAACACTTGACACTGTTAACGTAAGTTCTCCACTGTCTGCTTTTTTGTATCAGTTACTTTAGATCAAAGTTCCAGAATGGGCATCTGCTTAGTTAAGCCCAGCTCAGGCTTCCACTGTGCCTTGGCTTCCACAGGGCAGGAGGGCAGGGGTCTGGACTGTGATTTTTATAGTGGCAGATGAGGCCTACCTTGTATGAGGATTCGTACTGTGGCGTATTCCCCTAGACACATGAAGAGGATACGGATCCTGGGAAGGCTAAACAACTGCAAATACCCATTCTCTGTACTTTCACCACCAGGATGAAAAAACAGGACCTTTCTGTCTTATTCACTGTTGTATCCCCAGGGCCTAGAAAAGCATATTGTTGTTGTTGTTAGTTGTTGTCAAATTGTTTCTGAGTCATGGCAACCCCATGTGTGCAGAGTAGAACTGCTCCATAGGGTTTTTAAGGCTGTTCTTTTGAAAGCAGATTGCCAGGCCTGTCTCCTAAGATGCCTCTGGGTGGGTTCAAAAGCATATAGAAGGTGCTCAATAAATACTTGTTGAATAAGTGAATCAACCCTGCACTGTCAGACATTTGCAGTGTTGTGTTCAGTTGTGGATGTCATTCTCCAAGAGACACTAAATTGCTGGAGCGTGTCTCAAGAAGGATGTTGAGTCTGGAAACTGTGTCCCAGCAGTGAAAGCTGGGGACAGTCCACTTGGAAAGGGCGTTCTCAGCAGGAAGCAAGAACTGCCTTCCATTGCTTAAGGGCTATGACAGGAAGAAGGAGCTGATTGGTTCTTTGTGGAACTAGGGATAGTGGATGGGAGAGCTCATTGGAGTGTAAGAAAGAACTCTTTAAGGATTGAGACTGCCCTTAAGTAGATTGGCCTTGTTTGTGATAGTGAGTGACCCATTACCCAGAATATTGAGCAGAGATGGTTAATTGCCTTGAAGGATGTTGTCAGGGAAATTCTTAATAGTTAGTATGGGTAGGAGGCAGTAGTATAGCCTTACTTTTCCTCCTTTGTTGTTGGTTTAAAAGAGCAAATGCTCTTCAGTAGTGGTGACTGGTCTACCATATGACTGGGCCTTGTGTGGCTCTTTATCATGATACTGATGGTACATCCACTAGAGATGTGTCCTGTCCTCGGTTGACAGCTAACTACATTGTCTATACTTGCAACACAGATTTGGACTGTGTTCTGGTTACCTAGTGCCACTCTGACAGGAATATATACCACAAATCTGGATGGCCTTAACAAACAGGAGTTCAGGAGGCTAGAAGTCTGAGTTCCAAGTGCCAGGCTCTAGGGGCTGTGTGAAAGCCCCTCAACCTTGGGCTTCAGCTCTGCCTCTTTCTCCCAGCCCACTTAAGCTAGAGGCATCTCTTCACTCAGGCAGCTCCTTGTTGCTGAGGCTGACAAGCCCAAGGTTGACAAATAAAATGGCACAGTCCCGATGTTACCAAACTACACGGTAGGCCATTAATTTAAGTCCATTGAAAGTGCCAAAGTCGGCAGAGCATGGCAGCCTGCTGAACAATGACATGGCTACATGCAGGGCTCAAGTGTGCCATAAGCTAGAGACCATTCTCAAAGCTTCTCCTTATATTCAGGAAGCAGACCACATCCTTAGGGCATCTACTCAGCTGCTCACAGTAGATTTCCACCATGGAGTTGATTACCAGTCTCATCATGGGGAATACTATGTCCAACTGTCCAGCCATTCAGCCAGGCCCAGCCAAGTTGACACACAAACTTAACCACCACAGGCTGTATTTTAGTTTATTTAAATGCCTACATAACTGGATGTTAGGTAGGTAGCCTGACATATTATTGCAAGATGACATTGTGGAGTCAGATAGACTTGAGTTGAAATCCCATTACTACTGGTTGCACAACATACTTTTAAACCTTTTGATCTTCAATTGCTTCATCAGTAATGTAGGGCCAGCAATACCTTGCAGAACTGTTGGGGGATTAGCAATAATGAATGTAATAGGGATGGCAGGTAGTAGTTGTTCGGTAAATGGTATCTGTTATTATTCTTTTTGTTAGTTTTTTCTTTCTTCACCTCTTCATTGGTTTTATTATCAGCTTTATTCCTTGGAAATCTATTTTCACTAGATAACAAAATGAATGTTATAACAACCGGGTAAATTTTCAAACTAGTGGATGACCTAGTACAGAGCCCTTACCTTTGTGCTTCCCTTTCTTCATCTCTAATATGTAAATGACAGTAGTGCCAACGTTTAATTCTGAAGAGTAATTGAAATAATGGACTTAGCTCAGTTCTTGGCACACATCACCCTCAGCAAATGCTATTTATTTATTTATTAAAAAGGTGAAACTGTGCAAGTTGGGAGCAGGACACCTTTTCAGCTTTGTGAATAGGGGCCTCTCTGGCCCCCAGTTGCCTCCTTGTAAAATGGAGATGGTCTTGGTTCATTCTCTTCTGCTCAGTCAAGAGTGGTGACCGTGGTGGGTTTTGGCCTGAGCTCTTTCTCCACGTTGTAGGTTGCTGGAAGAAGAGTCTGCCAAGAGGGCTGAACTAGAAAAGTGGCATTTGGAGCAACAGCATACCATTCAGACAACTGAAGCCGAGAAGCAGAAGCTGGAGAACCAGCGCGTTATGAAAGAGCAAGCCCTGCAGAAAGCGCTGCAGCAGCTGGAACAGCTGGAGTTAGAGCGGAAACAAGCGCTTGAGCAGTATGAGGTAACTGGATGTGTCCCTGCGGCTTTAGTCTATTCAAATTTTTAAAAGTGAACATTTTTCAGTAATGGAATTCTTGCTTAGCTCAAAAGTATGGGCAGTAAGAAGAAAGAGAGGAAGCCTTTGCAGGAGATAAGGTGTATCAGTCAGAGTCTAATCAGAAACCCTATAATTAGTTGAACAAGGAAAGTTTGCATAAAAATTATTAACTAGCACAGGAGATTACCTACTAAAGGATAAAGAAAACCCTCAGAATACAGGGATGGCAGATGTTAGAAGCAGCTACTGCCTCTAGGACTAAGGGGCACACCCAGGGGAGTTGCAGGTCGCCCCGACCCCCACTCCCCGTGCTGGCTCCAGGCCTCCGAGGGCACGACCATGGCCCACTGGGCAGCAGAAACATTTGTTTGGTGCTGTGCCAACAGAACTCACAGGGAAGCTGCCCATAGGGAGGTGACAGTAAAACTCACTGGAGGCAGCACCGTGGTGTCCAGTGTGTCACAGGAGCAGACCAGCAAGAGCCAGTGGGGCCTGGAAGCAAAGTCCTGCCTTCTTCCGATGTCCCCTCAGCACCCGCTGCAGGCATACCTCATTTCATTGCAGCATCTCGTGCTATATTGCACTTCACAGATACTGCGTTTTTGACAAATTGAAGCCTGTGGCAATCCTGTGTTGAGTAAGTCTGTTGGCGCCATTTTTCCAACAGCACGTGCTCCCTTCGTGTTTCTGTGTCACATCTTGGCAATGCTCACAATATTTCAGACTTTTTCGTAACACTGTTGCATACTTAATAGACTATACAGTATGATGTAACTTTTATAGGCTCTGGGAAACTAAAAACCCGTGTGACTCACTTTATTGAGAAATTCACTTTATTGCAGTGGTTTGGAACTAAGCCCATAATATCTGAGGTATGTCTATTCTGCCAAAGCTTAAAAGGTGCCAGCTGGCGAGGGAGAATTGTTCAGGTATCACAAGCAGGACATTGAAGGGTGGATTTAGCTCTGAGAGGCAATGAATTGGTGACTGGCACAGAAAGATCTTATTCATTCGTCTATAACTAGTGTGAATACAGTGGAAGGAGCATAGGGCTTTTGAATTAGGCAGCATGGGTTAAAATCCTGGCTCTACTGCTTCCTACTTAACTGGGCAGACTACTTAACCTCTCTGAACTCTAATTCCTCATTCCCACTTCTCACAGTGGCTATGAGGATTTAATGAGATAATCATGAGCATATATTAAGTGTCCAATCATTGTTAATTTGGTTCTTATACTGTCTGTGTGTCCAAAATCTACTTTGTTCCAGGGAGTTAAAAAGAAGCTGGAGATGGCAGCTAGTTTGACTAAGAGCTGGAAGGACAAAGTGGCCCATCATGAAGGATTAATCCAATTGATAAAACCAGGTAACGGACTCTTTGAAATAATCATATATTCATTCACATTATTTTTCTGTTTTATTCGTGTATTTGAATTGTGCCTCTTTTTTTTTTTTTTAGCCCAAATGTACAGACACCAAACTGTTTAGGGTACATTTATCTTAAATAACTTGTCTTAGTAGATAAGAGGGCCCAGGTAACTCCCTTTGAATACACCTCCTAGGTGTCTTGGCTGGTATTGCATACTGTTCACACACATTTATGGATATTTCTTAGAGAAAAATAAAGTAGAAAAGTTACTGCTTTTGCCTGTGGGAAAAGCATGATAATGTACCTTGAAGACTATGATAGTTCAGGTATTTAAAGTGTGTTTGTCTCCTAGGTTCAAAAAACCCTCAGCTGGTCACTCACTGGGGACCTGCAGCTTTCACTGAGTCAGAACTTGAAGAGCGAATGAAGAACTGGAAAGAAAAAAAAACCACTGAGTAACTGAGCATGGCAGAGGTAGCATCAGTTATAGAGATACCAAGTGTAGCTGGAAAGCTTTATGCTAAACACAAAAGCACTAGCTTTGCTGTTCCTAGTTTTTCTTTCTTCAGTGCCTCCAATTGTGTGAATATAGTAAGGAAGCCTTCTTAATTACCTTCCTGCAAATAGGGCCTCTTCTGGGGGTGGGGGTGGGGGTGGGGGTGGGGGAGAGTCAATATTGCCAAGCTCCTTACTCTTTCTTTGAAAATTCAGCTTCTGAAAAGCACCTTTCTGTCAGCTCCCTGATTCTTTTCAGAACGAGCCAGCCTTGGAGGCAGCACAGCCCACCCCGTATCTGCACTGTTGGGAGGGGGTGGGGTGTGGGTGCTCTGTATCACCGGGCATTTGGAACCTCTTTAGACTGGATGCTACTTATTTTCTTGGGCAGCGTGTTTTCTTCTCCAACTATGTGTTTTGAAACTCGGTCGGCCAGTCTGCCTGCCATTCCATGCCGTTTGACAGACTGCCGTTGACATTGGTGCTCTGAGGGAGAAGTCGTAAAGTCACTACCATTTCCTGGCTTCCCCTCTGGAATGTTGTCTGGTTAGTGGAGGTTTCCTAGCTTCTGCTTCAATATTTCTTTCATAAACCATCACACACGTGTATCGTTCTCAGCTTCTTTCCCTTCATCTCAAAGAAGAGCGTCCGCTTGGCCCAAATTTGCAACCTAATTCTCTCTCTCTAGTGTTAGCATGACATGCTGTTGTTGTTGCCTCAGTGGACGCCTGGTGACGAGAGGATCATGTTGAGCTGTTGTTGTTACTGTTGTTAGTTGACTAATCAACTGCTATCAGGGTGAGTGCTGCTCACAGTGGTCTGGTGTGCAGAGTAGAGCTTCCATTTTTTTGGAAGCAGATCACCAGGCCTGCCTCTTCAGGTACCTCTGAGTGGCTTTGAACTGCCAACTTTTCAGCTAGTAGTCAAACACTTAATTAATCATTTGTGCTACCCAGGTATTCTACTATGTTGAGTAATAGAAGCTAATTTGAAATACAAATTATTTGGGTAACTTATAAAGCACACTGCTGTTTGCTAGTTAGATTCAAAACATAAAGATGATGGCCTGTTATCATATTAGCCAAGTCATGGTGTTAGTTTTTGTTAGGTGGACAGCTTTTCTCCTTTTTCTGTCTTCTGTGGGTGGCAGTGGAGGAAACAGGCAATAAAAACAAGTTTAATAGGGAGGTGGGGATTATAGTTTCTATGCAAAAGGTTTATTGGGGGAGGTTTTCACGGTCTGTCTTCAGATTAAAAATAATTTTTATGAAATCAAGCCTTCTAACACTGATTATAATTTATAAACAGCAGTAACTCCATGGTTCTGATGCAATGATACTTAAAATTATAAATAAATACGGTGATAGCTCAGTTGTTACAACAAAGGCAGAATTCAGTTGGTGGGTTAAAGTCCCTCTCTCTCTACAAGTATTAAATAAGGATGGAAGAAGCTCGTGTGTTCTAATTCTGATGCTTGCAGCGATTTCAAAAAGATGTACACTCCAGGAATAGTAATAGTGTTTTAGAAATTTCAGAGTATGTATTTATTTGCAAGAGAGGAAATTACAATCTAATCCAGTAATTATCACCTTTTATGACTGGAAAACATTTGCCAATGAAATGGCTTTTAGGAATTTGTCTTGAGATTTTTTGACTGTTTAATAAAAATGTAATTTTTATTTAATGGTCTCTTAGAGGTGTCTTTATAAAATTTAGTTTCTTATTACCTGGATTATCTTTGTATCATGTGTCTTAGAAATTTCTCAGCTGATTTGAATGTTAGCCATTTAGCAATGTTATCCCTTCATTCAATAGCTGGCCAATGTATTAGGCCAGTGAGACCTGGAGGAGGAATGAAGCCTTTGCTGGGTGTGATTATGCATCACACCAGGGGTCTCACTCAGTATCCCTCATAAGGAATGAGGAGAGGATACTTTACAAAGAAACAAATAGCCCATGTGAAATCTCTGGGGTGGCAACAGTATGGGCTGGGGAGTCAAAGAGCTCATGCCTGGGCAGGGAGTGGTGGTGGAATATGAGTATTTCTTTTGTAGTAAGTGGTGTAGGCCATGCACCTTTGCACATACCTTTCTGTAAACCTGGCGTGTTCCACAGCTACATCTGAAAACCTGAACTGGGCTTAGCTGTTCTGCTATTGGCTCTAGGGACCACCCTTTGTGGGCCGGGGCTGTCAGCCTGAGGTCTGCCTGCTTTCCAGCCACATTTGGACCTTGACCCAACACGTCCAGTGCATATATGTGGTTGCGTTGAAGACTTCTGCATAATGCGGGGCATTACTGATTTACTCTTGGCTTCTGCGGCACAAGCGCCAGGAGGTAAAAATCCTTTTAAACAATGCTTTCCTTAGGATAGATACTTACCCTCAAAGGCAGCACCCAAATCGCATTTGGAATGATATTTTGATACTAACTGAATTCTCCTAATGTTTGAAATAGTTTCAGCTGTTATCTGCCATCAAAATGCTGACAGAGCCCTTGGCTTCACTTTTGTAATTACTGTACAGAGACTTTCAGGAGGGTGTGAACATCCTAATCGGACTTTTCCTTTAATAAATAGGGATATGATCATTTACAGAAATTACACATGAAAAAAAGTTTTACAAGTGTATTTTTGTGATTTGCTATGTTGAGAGGGAATGACATATTTATAATCTTCATTCTTCTTATCTAAACATTGTACAATGTAATATGCTAAACTTTCTTAATTTTTTGCTAATTTTTCTAAGATACATTAAAAATGTTTTGTATGTTTTTTTTTTTCTAGTAAAAAGTACCAGAACAACATACATTTAAACTGTCTGGTTTAATAAAGCAATGAGATAAAGTTGTGTGTCTTTGTGTATTTGCATGTAATGCAGTGGACTTTGGGTTAGAGACATTTCCTGAATACACTTGGTTTGTAGTTTGGACCCCAAACCAATGCTATCAAGAAGTGAGCGATGGCCTTGTGTTCGGTGTTTGAGTCACAGTTGTGGGGAAACCCTGGTTGATGTGTCATCCTGCACGAACGGGAACTTACCAAGATGTTTTCTCCCGCATTGTTGCTGTTGCCTCCAAATCCTCTTACCTCTGCTTTCCCGAAGTTTCTTATTATGCCTTTCAGTTTTTCCTCCACCAGAATAAACAGTGTGGTTTTTCTGTTTTGGTTTTACATGATTTCCAAGATCAAAATGCCTATTGTGGGCTGAGCAGGCCCACTAAATCCAGTGTGATCGTGTCTTGCAGTCTTTCTCTTTTAGAGGGAGAGAGAGAACACATGGTGGTGTTTTTAAACGATTCTTTCCCTACAATGGTGGTTCTCAACTGGGGATGATTGTGCCACCCCAAGGGACGTTTGGGAAAGCCTGGAGACCTTTTTGGTTGTCACTACTGGAGAGGGTATTACTGGCGTCTTGTAGGTAGAGGCCAGACATGCTGCTAAACATTTTAAACATCTTGCAACCACCATCACAAAGAATTTTCTGATCCAAAATATCAATAGTGTCGAGGCCAAGAAAACCTGTTTTACAGAAACACAGCAGGCTCTAAGAATCAGGATTTCTCTTTAAGGAGTTGACCTCTGGTGTGAATAGTGTGCACTTGAAGTGAGAGTCTGTTTGCTCTGTTAGAGGAGAGCAGAGGCCTGTGACTTTGGCACACGCTGTGAACGGTAGTGGACCTCAGAAACTCCCTTTCCTACATAGGTCCCAAGGGAATTGCTTTGGATATGTTTTAAAGTGTTTCTGTGATTTGCTGAGGTGTGAAGTGTCAACGTTACCTTGCCTTGATTTCTTCCCCAGTAGCTAAACACAGAGTTGGGTGTGTCAGAACCAGAGCTTTGAACGGGTTCAGTCATGGCTGACTCAGTGAAATCAGAATGGACCTGAATTTGTAAAATATTGGTGTACCTGAATGATTATCTGAACAGGAAGAATTACAAGTCCAAGTCTTGGAGTGGGAGACTCAGAAGAGGCATAGTGAGCCCTTTCAGGAGCTTGATGAAGGAGACTGAATTATTGTCAGGACTTTGGTGAGCAGACACACATTCAAAGTCGTGCAGGCAGCCGCCATATTTGAGCAGGTACCACTGTTTCTGACTGTGCCAGTCAAGAAATTTGGTTGCTATGTGCAACATGCACACATGTTTTCTAAGAGGGGGATTAAGTTTCTAGCACAGTGTCCTTTAATTTTTCCCATTCCAGTTACCATTTCCAATACATCCACATTTTATAAATCTGCATCCATTTCCAGTTTTGTTTTGTTGGCCATGACTGAACTGGGAAGAACTGGTTTGAAACCCTGGTCAGAACCACTCAGCAGCTGGTGAGGAATAACTGTTCAGATTTACCACCCAGGCGGTGATACGCCCGTGCAGCACTAGTGCTTGTTCCTAATGGCAAAGCCATAATTGTCCCTTCAGGGTAGTGCCAGCAAGGCACAGCAGTCCTGGAGCAAAGGCTGGGGATCAGGTTAGGAAGTTGGGCCTTATGGAATGAGGAGCAGGACCTGCTGCAGTGTGAAACAGCTGCCATGACTGCTCAGAGTAGGTGCTCAAAATGTATTGAAACAATCAGTCTTGGGAATAGTTTAAGGAGCATCTGTCTACTTTTTTCCTCCTTTATGTCCCCATTTCCTTCTTTATTTATATATTCATTTTGAGACCCAAAAATTTGCCCCTCAGCTTTGGGAAACTATTTGGCACTTTCTACAAAACTAAAGCCCTGCAGTTCCGCTCCCAGGAGAAGTGAGGCCTGTCCACTGAAAGACTTGCATAAGAAGCTTCTCAGAAGCTTTGTTCATAATGACTCCAAACCGGGAACAGCCCAGATAACCATCAATAGAGAATAGGTCAGTGAAGTACTGATGCATTGGGACTGTTGACAAAGGAATACTACCAAAAAAAAAAAAAAAAAAGAATTATCAAGAGAGGCAACAACATGGATGAGTCTCACAGATATTATGTTGAACAAGGAAGCCAAACAAAAAGTACATACTGTATGATTCCATTTATAGTAATTTCCAGAACAGGCAAAGCTAATCTGTGGTTTAG